GGGGGCTTCTAAAAGGCCGGCAGGCTGCTGGGCCCTGCGGAGAGCGGGTTGCCAAGCCCTACGCTTGCGAGCTGTGCCGGAAGGCCTACTCCCACCGCGGCACGCTGCAACAGCATCGGCACCTGCACACGGGCGAGCGGCTCCACCCGTGCCCCTTCTAAGACAAGGCCTATACCTGGTCCTCTGATCACCGAAAGCACATCCACACCCACACCGGCCAGAAGGCCTAACTCGTGCGATCCTCCGACCTGCACAAACACCAGAGCAACATGCGTAGCAGCGACAAACCCTTCCCGTGCGCCACTGCGGCCTGATCTTCAACAAGCCGCTGTCGCTGCTGCGCCACCAGCGCACACATCTAGGCGCGAATCCCTTTCACTGCCCGGCCTGGGACTGCGAGTTCTCAGTGGCTAGTTGCACGGTGGAGCACCAGCGCACTCAGGCGAGCGGCCTTTCCCCTGCTCCACCTGCTGCAAATGCTTCACCAAATCCTCTAACCTGTACGAGCACCAGATGCTGCACACAGGCCGACTGCGGAGTGACCTTCGCGCTGCCCTCGCGCCTCGTGCGCCACCAATGTATCCACATGGGTGAGGGGCCCTTTCCTTGCACACAGTGTGGCCAGGCCTTTGCCCGCTCCTCCGCCCTGAAGCGGCACCAATAGATCCACTCAGGAGAGAAGGGCTTCCTCTGTGCCGAGTGTGGCAGGGCATTCCACATTGCCTCCGAGCTGACCCAACACATCCGGATATACAACGGGGAGAGACCCTACCAGAGCGAGGACTGCGGGCAGGCCGTCACCAGGTCCAGTCACCTCTAGCGACACCGCGCCAAGCACGACGCCTTTAAGCAGCTCTTCCCTTCCTCCTCTGACTAGTGAGGGCCTGGTCGGCGGACTCCTAGGGGAGAAAGACACCCTCAACCTCATTGGTTGGATCCCCGCCCACGGACCCACTTGCGTGCTGTTGCCAGCCAGCCTCTCTGATTAGCCACTCCTTCCAGCGATTCCCTCCATAGGGTAGTCCATCTGCTTTACATATTTGATCTGTTGTTAACAGAAACAAGCACAAGGATAGTACTCAGGTGCGTGATTTCAGCCCAGTCAGCTGTAACTCCTGGTCGTATGCAATTGGAAAAGAGTAAGATAAAGGAGTAGGAGTTTGTGGATAGTTGAGTTTCTTGGGTCAGGGTACCCTAATCAACCAGAAATTATTTATAAAATTATATTCTGGTTCTAGGGGTCCTGTGGGGGAAAGGCTGTCCTGTTCTGCCTTCAAAGCCATGTGCAAATACTGAGAAGATATTAGAGAAAGGTGTTTGGTTTTTACATAAAGGAATTTCCAGAAATGGTCCCTGGGATGGGCTCCTCCAAAGAACAAAGTCTACCCAGGGGTAAATCCAACCCAGCGAAACACATCACCATCATTTCACTTGCATGCTGAAGTGATTTCTTGCCCTTGGATTTAATGCCCTTGGAGAACTGTCTCTATGAGGCTTGGGTTTGAAGTTGAGAAGGCCTTCACCTTAAAGAAAGGAGGAGGGGGCATTTGTCCTATATTTAGAAACCAGCTATTTCAGAAGTTCAAAACAGCCTCAGCATCTGAAAAAGAGGCCCAGTGGAACTTGGTAACTGTATCTCAGCTTAAGCGCAGGACCAACGACCTCTGTTTGGAACAGAAGAATCCTCTGCAATTGTTGATGAACTGCATTTTAAGAGTGGGTGGTTATAAATACAAGAGCTGGTAAAAGCTGTAACAGTGTGGCAGAAATCAGGGTATAATCAGAGGGAAAGATCCTGCAAGTTACTTAAGAATGAGTCGAGGTGGAGAACCAGAGTTGGCAGCTATTAATCATTCATTCCTGGGTAGACCTATTAATAAACTGGCCAGCAAGAAGGGATTGGAGCCAAAGGAGTTGATTGTTCCTTGAAGGCCCATCATTTTTTTCACTTGTTGGCTGAAGAAGTATTCTGTGCCCCTGCTGTCCACAAATACATCAGCAATGAATCTTGGAACCAAACATTTACACACATAATCTCAGTACATGCACATTGAAATGCTCTATTACCCTGAACAAAATTGATCACCAAGGAGTTCCAACTAGACCTTATAAAAACCTTGCTTATATGGGAATTTTGTGTAAAGCATCAGTTTAATTGCAAGAATGCTCAACTCCATATCATTGCTAAACTCAGAATGAGAATATGAATTACAAATTTAATGATCCATGAAAATGTTGCCAAAGATGCAGTGACTCACTGTGTCATCAGACCAGGAAAGGGGCCTGTTTGAAGGTGACAGGGAAGATTATTTTTAACATTTTAAAAATTTTAATTAATTTTATTGGTACATTTTAGGTATACAGTATAATGACATTCATCATTGGAAATTTGCAGCTTTACATAATCTCTCTTGGTTCTTATTTTTTCCCCCTTCCCCTGCCCTCCCTTCAACCCCTTCAACCCTCTCTATTTACAAAGACTTTGTTTCCATTTTCTCATATTAATTCCATTCCCTTCTTTCCTTTCCCCCTCCCTTCCCACTTCCCCTTCCCCTTTGCCCCTTTTCTCTCTATTTCACAATATCTGTTATAACTTTTAGACCTTATTTACACTTTCAATTTCTCACAATACAGAAACTGGTATTTGCACATGTGTCCTATTTATTTCACTTAAGAATATGGCCTCAGTGTGAGTCCATTTAGCTACAAATGTCTCTAGTTTCTCATTTTTTATGGTCGAGTAGTATTTCATTTTATTAAAAAACCACATTTTCTTTATCCAGTCTCCAGGTTTTTTTTTTGCATGTGTGTCCTATTTATTTCACTTAATAGTATCACCTTTTAGTCCTTATTTACACTTTTAGCTTCTCACACTAGAGAAACTATTCGGTATTTACACATATGTGTCCTATTTATTTCACTTAAGAGTATCACCTCAATGTGCATCCATTTAGCTATAAAAGTCTCTAATTTCTCATTTTTATGGCTGAGTAGTACTCCATTTTATAAAAAATAAAACCACATTTTCTTTATCCAGTCTCCAGTTGATGGGCAATTGGGCTGTTTCCAAGTTTTAGCTATTACAAACTGTGCTGCTATGAACATGGGTGCACATATATTACTGTGGTAAGATTCTTTTAATTCTTTTGGGAAGATACCCAGCAGGGGAATAGCGGGTCAAATGGGACTTCCAGTCCTAGTTCTTTGAGGTATCTCCATACTGATTTCCATAGTCATTGCACCAGTCAACACTCCCACCAGCAGTGGGGCAGGGTTCCTCTTTCCCCACAGCCCCGCCAGCATTTGTTATTGGTTGATTTTATGATAGCAACATCACTGGTTGTTCAAGAGATGCAGATGAAAACAACACTGAAATTGCACCTCACCCCAGAAAGAATGGCTACTACCAAGAAATCAACAAATAACAAATGCTGGCGGGGTTGTAGGGAGAAAGGAACCCTTCTCCATTGTTGGTGGGAGCGCAGACTGGTGCAACCACTCTGGAAGTCAGTATGGAGATACCTCAAAGAACTAGGACTAGAGGTCCCATTTGATCCAGCTATTCCCCTGCTGGGGATCTTCCCAAAAGAATTAAAAGAATCATATCACAGTGATATATGTGCACCCATGTTCATAGCAGCACAGTTTGTAATAGCTAAAGCTTGGAAGCAGCCCAAGTGCCCATCAACAGGAAATTGGATAAAGAAAATGTGGTTTTTTTTATAAAATGGAGTACTGCTCAGCCATAAAGAACGAAAAACTAGAGTCATTTATACTAAATGGATGCATATCGAGGCCATACTCTAAAGTGAAATAAATAGGACACACATGTGTAAATACCGAATAGTTTCTCTAGTGTGAGAAACTGGTAGTGTAAACAAGGGTTAAAATGATTAAAATGAATAATTGATAATTTGAAATAGGAAAAAAGGTCCAAAGATGAAGGAGTGAAGGGAGGAGAAGGGGAAAGGAAAAGAGGGAAAGGAAAAACTATGAGAAAAGAAAAAAATAAAATGGAAATGAAATCTATGTAAATAGGGAAGGGCTGAGAGGGTGAAGGGTGCACAGGTAATGGGGGGGAAAAAAGAACCAAGATACATCATGTACAGGTACAAGCACCCAATGATAAATGTAAATGAATTTCATACCTAAAATGTACCAATAAAAGAACTAAAAAAAAAAAATTTAGAGGTAAGACTAAAGCAATTTGGTGAAAACTCAAATAAATCTCCCAAGTATTCTAAAAAAAAAAAAAAGAAATTCAAATGTCCTTAAAGATATACATATATATTATATATGGATATCATTCACAAAAATTTGCAAACAATCTAAATGTGTATCAATAAAAGAATAAGTTGTGTTTTATTTATATGATGAGATACTAAACACCACTTAAAAATAAATGAAATAGAGCCATCAGTATCTACATGGCTAGATTTAGAAAATGTTGAGTAAAAAAACCAAGTGCAGAACAATTAACATGTTCACATACATTATTTCTGTCAGTTCAGCCTTCTCTAAAAAAGTACCATAGCCTGGGTGGCTTATAAGCAAACGGAAGTCATGTTTCAAAGTTCAAAATCAGGGTACCAGCATGTTCAGGTTCTGGTGAGGGCTCACATCCAGGCTGTGGCCTGCTGACTCACACTCTCACATGACAGAGACAGCAAGAAAGTTATTCTATGGCCTCTTCTTATAAAAGCCACTAATCTCAATCTCAAGGATTTCACTTTCATGATGTAATTACTTCCCATAGGTCCCACCAACAAACATATCAGGATTAGGGTTTCGACATACAAATTTCAGGATCAATACATTCAGTCCATTTCATAAATTTCCGCTTGGAGAGAAACATGCACAGAGGGAACACAATGTGAAGAGATACATAGAGGAGACAACCATCTGCAAGCCAAGGAAAGAAGCCTCAAACAGATTTTGTACATCTATCAGAATGAAGCAACCCTGGTAACACCTGGATCTCAGACTTCTGGCCTCCAGAAACAACTTCAAGACAATAAATTGTTGAAGTCATTAGTTGTAGTTCATATGGCACCCCTGATACAATACTTATAATTTGAAAGACAACTCTGTTATTTTTTAAAAGGTATGTTTTCAACAAAGAAAAAGAAAAACTTTGCTCAAAAATGTAAGCCAAGAAGCTGATATGCTATTTAATAGGATGTCCTTTCTTATCTTAACAGTACGGTTTAATTTTTTGACCTGGCACTAAGAGACTTTTGTTTAATAAACCTAGTAGGTCAGTCTTACTGAGCAAAGGAAAACAATTCCCATGTCCTCAGAATTGTGTTCTATGACTTCCTAATTAAGGCTGAGAAAGAGAATCCCCAAATTTCCTTCAGAGAAGATAAACATAATTAACTCTAAGATGTTTAATAATAAATCACCAGATCTCATGGGCATAATAAGTATAACTAGGGAATTATTTTAATACAGACTCAGTGAATAAACACAAATTCAACTCCAGAGCTGGATGAATTGCAAATATACTACAGATACATTAAATTTTTTAAAATTAATTTTATTGGTACATTTAAGGTATACAATATAATGACATTCATCATTGGAAATTTGCACCTTTACATAATCCATGTTGGTTCTTATGAGAAGTCAAATTTTAAAGTTTAATTTCTTAGCATAGATCTCGGAGCATGCTAAGTTTAAGGTCATTTGTTATTGGAAAGATAGGGGCACAATAATATATAATTTTAGCTGTTTTAAGATCATGTCAGTAAGGATAATGATGCTTTGCTATAAATTCTTTATGATACCTTGCTAAAGAAAAATATAAAGTTGAATAAAGCATAGAATATGAATGTGTCCCAAGAAAGAACTTCTTTAAGACCACCTGTATAATTCTGCAATTACATACGTAGGTTTTCTTGTTAGCAAAAGGCTGTTCCTTTGTAACCTTCTCTGA